GACAAACTATTACTAGTTATTACCATTTTACTAAGGAAAACCTACGTCTAATAAAAGTCTCACAAATCGTTAGATGCATTAGATGTGTTTAAACAAACTGTTTCCTTTGCGGCCGTATAACACCCTGGTAAAGTTTCGTAGAAATTGGTTGATTTTTTGATGAGTTGTCATATGATATACCCCTATTTCTTATGTTTTTGATATGTAAAATCTTGTGTAACCACAATGCATAAATCGAACTTCCGTCATGCTCTTAATATAATAATCTATATTTATATAATCAAAATTTATATAAATAAATTTTATTTATAATTATTTAAAATGATTTTATTATAGATTAAATATTTATTATATATAGTAATTTATTTACTAAGTTTAGTAATAAAATTTATATATATAATAATTTTAATTTTTTGTTGTTTTAAATAAATTTATTAATTTTATTTGAAAATAGAATAGTTATAAAAAATAATTATTGCAAAATTATTATTATTATTAGTAAAATTTAAAAAATAAAAATAATATAGCTTCGTAAAATATATTTAAACAAAGAAAAATTTTAAATTATAAATTTTTTAAATTTTAATACTTCAATCTAAAAATAAATTATATATTTAAAAACTACATAATTGATTTTAATATTGGTTAAATTTTTAAAAAAATTAATTAAATTTTTAATTTTTTTTATATATATACTTAAGATAAAGTTTAATTAATTTTTATATAAAAAAGCTTGCAATAGTTTTTATATATGAACTTAAAAATTCAATATTTTAAAAACTATTTGATAAAAATAGCTAAAATTTTTTTTACAAATTTATTATAATCTTTATATTTATATATAAACTATATCTTTAAAAATAATCAAAATATTGATCTACTAACAAGACTTATCATCTCACCTACATATATTTTGAATTTAGAGTCAAGACTTTTACTATTTTGGGCAAACACCCCAATCACTAGTTGGACTAAGGAAGCTTATTTCGTTTCAGAAAGATTTCAAGATTTTCAGAAAGCTCAAATTAGGCTTTATAACCAATGCATAATTATAAGAAATATTCTTGATAATTTTTCTTGTCCAGAATATAATCTAATTTCTACAATTCTAACTAGTTGGAAGATATAATTGTTTTTATTTTCCCAACAAGGCATTTACTTGGTATTGATATATACTAACATTGATGTGATCTTTATAGAAACAATTAAATAAAAAATTAAAAAAATAGAAAAGTATAAAAGAAAACTTTGAGCTTTGTAGCCAGAAACTGAGATTAAACATTTTAAGGGTAAGTAATTACTTGCCATTTAATTTTAATTTGCCACTTTTTCCTAAATTAATATCTTTTTATAGACTGACCAAGTGCTTGTGGATCAAGGTGAATTACTAATCAGAAAAAAAAGTTCAGTCAGTAGTTATAATAAAATATACATTAATATTGATGACAACAATGTTCATAATGAATATATTATTAATAATGATTTAGATATTAATGAATTGATCCTACATTTTAATTACTTTCTTGATCTTATATTTTGTTTTTATTTAAGCACCTCCAATTATTCAAAGTATTAATATGGAAATCATAATATTATCAGATAGAGATGTGATCAAAGTATTTAGAATATAGGCAGTTCCTAAGTATATAATATAATATTCTAATCATGAGTTTATACAGTATATATTCTAATTATTTAATTAATTATATTTAACTATAATACAGTAGTAATATGGAGTTTATAATTGATCCAAACAATAAACAAATAGCTAAAATATTTAGCTCTATAGAATTGAATAAACTTAGAGCAATAGCAAAAGACCACTTTTATGTAACAATTAATTCTGAATTATTAAATTTTGTTGAATCATTTTACATTGTATGCTTTATTGATTACAAAATTAATATATGAGTGAATTTGTAGAATTATTATTAAGAATATAACTAATCTTTAACAATACATAATTCAGAATCCATTAAACAAAACTTTTTGAGAGTTATATATCATCAAAGATTAGTTACATTTTTAATAATAGTTTTGTAAATTTACTTATATGATAGCTATATTTATTTATTACTAATACAAGTAAATTTTTCAGAAAAATGTTTGTAAATCAATATGCTGCTCTACAGCGATGGAATATAATTGTTATTGTGCTATAAAAAAGCTTAAACTTAACTCAGATATTGATAATTATTATAATAAAATATATATCATTAATGTAATACAAGCCTTGTAAGTAGTTTATTTATATTTTAATAAGACTCTATTTATATTGTAAATGTAGTATATAAATATTTTGATTATCTATTTGTAGTATAAGGAAAGTGAATATGAAGAGCCATAATTATATTTTAATTAGTACTAGTGAGAATTAGTGATCTGCCAATATTATCAACTCATTAATTGAATATTATTATTTTGATCATAGATTGATCGAAAGGTATTTATATTTACTATATTTTTTTTTCATTATTTCAAATTTAACCATACCGATATTGTTAATAGAAATGTTGTTCAGTCAACTCTATTACATAACTGTATAAATAGGAAGAACTCAATAGAAGTTAAAGTCTAATCAGAAAACAAATCTGACTTTCATTTGATAGAATTATCTTAGCTAATATGTAGGGAGATAAAAAAAGAGAATAATCTTATAACAAATTATAAAAATACAGAAAAGTAATAGCAGAAACTTGCCGATGAGCTTGAGTACATTTTTAATAATTTAGACAAAAATTATTAACATATTATAACAAATATAGAATCAACTGGATATAAAATCAAAAGTAGATTATGATATTTTATAACATACTGTATACCTGTACTTCTTATTTTTTATTTTACCTAGAAAGATAGGTTGGAATCTATGTAATGTGTATTCTAGGTGATGGTGTATACCTTAGTGCTGAAGTTGACAATTTTGAGATACCTATAATTTTAAAAAACATTAATAGACTAATTGAGGGTATTATTAAAATACTTAAGAGTAAGGTAAGAATACAGTATATTCTTATTTATATTTTTCTGCAAGTTGTGCAAATTTTAATAGATCATTAATTATTGGAATAATAGCTGCATTTTGAAGAATCTAAGAAGTGCTTAAATACCATCAAAGCTATAGAATCCTCTATAAGTTCAGTGCCTAAAAATATTATAAGGGTTACTAGCTACTCTCTCTCCCATATATAATTAATTGGTTGGGTGATTTTCTTTATTATATTAATTTTTTGTGAAAGATTTTCAATGAAAATAAAATATTTTGTTTGCATTGTTTTGGGCTTACTGTAAAATATGTATATATATATTTTTTTGCAACACATATATGTACCAATAGACAATTTATATACCTGATTACTTTCTTCGTGTAAAGCTACATCAAAATTATACTGTTGTTTTTTAAATTGTAACTCCTTCATGAATATTTAAAAATTTATAAAAAAAAAATTTTTTTGATGATTCGAAGAACATTACAGGTAGAACAATAGTACACCCGATGTCCGTGTGTTAACAAATTCTGAATTATGATTGGCTAGATCAAGTGTAACATAAAAGAGAAACAATCAAAACAATAGGTAGTCGATGCTTATTGGCTAGGTGTAATATATATTTAGTCCTTTGGACTTTAAATAGTTTCTATTTTCCTAGTCTATCATACAGAACATGCATTCAAGTTACATCCACTTACCGTATTTTACAGTCCAAACCACCCTCCCTGTCGAATTATGCTGATATTTTACTGGTGCATATCAGTTTACAGAATAATTTTTGTCTGCTTTTTTTTTTATTTTTTTTATATATTTTGTAATTGTCCGAAGCAAAGCGGAGGACTCTCTGTTTTTACTAAAGCATTTGATCATCGCAATCACGTGAGTTTGTCCGTCCGGCTGCTTTCGTGAATCTGATTGGTTGAATACATGATGATCATCTACACATATACGTATGATGCTTACAACTACGAACTAGAAATAATTCAATTTATTAATTAGTTTTTTAATATAATTTTATATCTTACGCTCCGGACTTACACTGGTTTCCAGTTCCTAGTTATTTTATGACAGGGGGGTGGTTTGGACCGTAAAATACGGTATTTGCGTGGGTAATACAACCCTCTAAAAGGAAATGCCACAAATTTCGGGTATTCCGCTCGACATAGAATCCGAACACGTGCAAAAGAAAAAAGCGAAAATGTTCAAAAACCAGTATTTAAATCGACCTTTGTGGACTAATAAAAAATGACGGGGATGAAATTTTACATATAAGAAACTCCAACTTATCGCTAAAGCTCACAACCCAACGTCCTAATCCTAAAAATTGATTTCCTTTTTTGGGTTGTTACCCGCGCAAATAATAAGAGTACATTCTTTAAGAATACCCCAAGAGTGACCGCTGTAAAGGTTCCGATTACTGAAACAGCAGAGACCATAATCACGGCTGCTCAATCTAGATATGGACCAGAAATCTCAATCGAGTTAACGCTTGTTGACAGTGAGGGTAAAATTGTTGATCCTACATTAGACATTGTGGACATTACGAATGAAAACTAACAGGATGAACCATTTGAAATCAAAATAATTGATAGCGAAGGTAATTTCGTGGAACATGATGCACCTTTTAGATAAATTAATGTAATATTTCGGAATTTGATTAATAACTGATGCTGAAATTGGTCGATGTTGAAATTTATTATAAAACGAGTTCATAAATTTTGTTCTGAACAGTATCGATTAAATAACTAGAAAATGAAATAAAATTCTTAAAAAGCAGTGAGTTGGGCCAGTTAAAATTAAAAAATAAGGAAATTAATAGTTTGAACAATCAAACATTCCAACTTAAAACAGGGAGTCATGTACTTGAGAATAACTACTACAAAGCGGTCTGTTTCCAAGAAGACCGCAAGACTCTTGAAGTTTCTAATAAACGTAAACATAGTTTATTAATAAAGAAGACTCAGAATGATTGTATTAGATCCTTTATCTATTTAGAAATTGAAAATAGAATCAATGATCTACAACATACATGTTCAAAAATGAAGAAATATGAAATAAATAGGACTAAAATAAAGAATCTTCGAGAAGAGTCGAAAATGTCAACCAGAAAATAAAAGAAAAAGTTGAAGAATTGGCTAGATTTCGCTTGATAGTTCAATAATTGAAATATAAGAGTATATGTTGAATTTTGGTAGACACAATACTACAGAGATCCTAAATTTCAGCATCAACATAAGCTGCCACATAATAGTTCTTTTAAATTTTTTAAAAAAATGTTTAGACATTCAAATATTCGTATTCGTAAAAGACCTACAGCTTCAATATTCCGAAATCAATATGAAGTCGACCAATTCCTTGGCTTAAACCATTTCAATTAGTTGATCGTCATGGAAAGCGGCTTAAACCATTTCAATTGGTTGATCGTCATGGAAAGCGAACTGATACTTCAGTTTTAACTCGTCGGTATAAGGACCTTGTTCAAGATTCATATTATACAGTATACTCGTGTAAGGAAATACACATTTATTATCATGAGAATTCTTGGAAAAGTATAGTAGATTGAAAACTATGATAAATATTTTAATAAATCTGTATGTTACAAACAATTAGTTATTTATTTTCTACATATATATCATATTATCTAACATGTCTTGTTCGATATCATATACATCGTCGCATGACTCTTTCTTAACTTTGGCGTCCAATACTTTATACATGGAAATTTTCACATCAGGTACAATTCCTTTTAACCCTCAACCAATAATCTTAAAATTCCAACCTTCGATTCATAAGGAACAAAAGTTAAACAAACAATATTGTAAAATATGTTAATCAAAATCTGATTTTGTTAATTACCTCATAAACATGACTGCTATTCGATTTTCTTTCCCTTGCACCAATTTTCTTTCCGGGGAATACCAAGCATCTTGTACGAATTTCTTCAACTTTCAGCAGTGTGATCATTGTGTTAAAGAAATGATCCCGCAATTTGAAAGTTGATGATAACTTCTTTAATTTTTCTTTAGTAACATTTAAAAAAAAATAAAAAATGGGTTATATAACAAAAATCTTTTTAAAATGATTAAATGGTAATAATACTAATAATATGTACCATAATTTTTGCCTCTTCATTATCTGGAAACAACCCAGATACACACTTTCGTCATTTATCGAGAAGTTTATCGATGAAACTATTATCACATCATTTACATCATTTTGGCAAAATAGATTGATTAACGCGTCTGCTAAATATACTAGGTTAATGCATGGCATTGTGTGTCTGGAGCATGTAAAAGAAACTACTACGATGTTCGTAATAAGTATTTGATCAAAAACGTAACTTTTGTATCAACCTTTCCTAAATATTATTACGATGAATCAAAAAACAGAGCTTTTTAACGCATGGGGACAGACACCAAACTCAAAAGTTACGATTTTGATATTTTTAATATCGATATATCAAAAAGTAACTTTCGTATCACCTTACAATGTCTGTCGCTATGCTCCGGGCAACTATCTTGTTTTGAGGTGGTAACTCTTGTATTTTCACGAAACTTTTCTGTTTTATCAAAGAATTTCATTAAAAATTAATATTTAAAAAAATTTGTGAATTAAATTATAAATTTAATGTTTAGATGCTTAACGTCTTTGGTATTATCTATTTTTATTTATAAAAAAAAGATTTATTATAACAATACTAAGGGTAAGATATACTGTATACGTATAGATTATTTTTTACATAATCTATTTCAAGTTTTTTTCCTTCACTATCAGCATCGCTCGTATTTTCAAACATATATCTGATATGTTTGGTGCTCAACGATACACGCTTCCTCGACTCCAGAAACTACATATAAATCAGCATTATTTATATCTGCTTTAATTTTATGTCCATTTTAAAATGTGTGTTGAATTAACCGTTTATGAATCTTAAAATCTTTTTTTAAATTCTTTCGCGTGCATTTATTAGTTTGTAAGCTCTTTCGTTTTCTAATATCGAGTATTAATTAAAATTATGTATTTGATTGGTTAATTATCACGGGAAATCACACAAAAATTAACCAATCATATAAATGTCTTCCTATGAGGTCCTGCCCTAACTTAACATAATACCGCCCTAACGCTACTGCTAACGGGATTCCTTTTCTGTGTTTGTATCACTCGAACAAAAAGTATTTCATCGGTATGTGGTATCGAGACGCCGGGGTAGTTGTAAATTCAAAACCATGTCAGACGCATCAGTTTCTAATGGTTACTACTCAATAATAGTTGGGGGCAAGACCTTCAACTTATCAACCTCCTCCCTTTATTCAGACAGTCCTAATTATTTTACCGA